AGGCCGGTCTCGAACCCACGGGCTCAGGCAATCCACTCACCTCAGCCTCCCAAAGGCGTGGGATTACAGGCTGAGCCACCGAGCCCGGCTCTGCTGTTTTTTTATTGTCGGTTTTTTCTGCTTCCAGTTGTGTCCAAATGATGTCTCTGCATGTGTTAAGGTTGGCATGGAATACAGATTACTTTGGGGCATAGACTAGGGATCCAACAAATCAGATTGGGCCCAAAACCTATCAGCTTATGGGCAAAAAAGCTCTCTGAAGGTTAAAAATATCACTTCTGGGTAGTTTCTAATTCATTAAGCAAACAATGTTGAGTGCCTATTCTGTGCCAGCATCTTTGATGGACACCATAGCTGTTAAAATGGGAAGATTGGCTTTGCCTTCAAAAAGCAGTAACAGTGATAATTTCTTACATTTGTATTTTCTCACAGTGGCTGAGAAGTCAGCAGTATATGCACCTGAGGGTCAACTTACATGGTGATTTGCCTAAGGCCTTTTGGTCAGTAAAACACAGTATGGAGTACCAAGACTATTACCTAAGTCTCTTGCCCTCCAATCTGGTATGTTTCATTCTAGTACATTGTTCCCTATTCCTAGCCTTCAATTTTAGTTATCACAATTCCAAGAAACGAGTGAGGCATGCGTAATTGCCTATAGTCACCGCTGTAGTCCTTATGGGAGTAAGGTAAAGTAGAAACCTCCCTATTTTACTGGTGACAGAGGTGGCTTTGCTCAAAGTCAAACACGCAATACACGGCAAAGACAGGACTAACAAGTACATCTATTAAACATCTACTATAGGCCAAAGACTTCTTTTTTTCTGCTTTTCACGGTCACATTGCAAAGCAGATATTACTAAATAGCTCCATTTTAATGATGATAAAGATAGTAATATTTGCCATTTACTCAATGCCTAAGATGAGCCAGCTTTTTTGTACTTTTGCATGTTCTAATGATTTTTATAAGTCTTACAGGATAGATATCATCTGTTTCATTTTGTGCAAAGCAGACAGACTCAGAGAAGCTGTAAAGGTCTCACAGATAGCCTATGACAGAACAGCAATTGGAGCTGAAGTCTGACTGAGTCAAAAGCCTGCACTTTTCACTATTTCACGTTTCCTTTTTGAGACTCCTTCCAGACTTGGGTCATTTGTCTCCTAATTCGTCTTCTTTCTTCAGACACCACCATCCCCCTGGAGATATTAACTAGAGCTGTGTAGCCAAGATAATTATGACAAGACACTGGCCTGCAGGGTAAAACTAAAGCTAAAATAAAGTTGGGGAATTATCTGTGAATGTTGATCCCAACTCTGAATATTCTCTCCCCAGCAATCTCAGAGTGCTGACTACATGTAGGATGGGTACTTTTGCTCAAACCTAGCATATTTTGCCCTTATAGGCTGTGTTGCCTCAGTCTTTAGTTTGCCTCTAAGCCTCAAATTAGTCTTTCCTGCCATGGAGTAATCAAATAACATTTGCGGACCTGCAAATATGGTTCCCAGTATTGTTTCCAAATGACACAAAGGACTGGCAGAATTTGTACCTTTGCTTAGGACGAAAGACCTGCAGTCACAGATGGCATCATCAGCTTCTCAGAAGTCTTAAGAGTGTGGCCTCTGGGCCCGTGTGTGGAGCAGACATTGACCATGATGAGGGCCTGAGAGGAATTCTGGTACTTACGGTCATTCACATGAAGGATAAGGAAGGATGGATTACGCTGTCTCCCCTGCCTGCAGATGGATCTTCCTGGCGAAGCGCTATGTGTGTGTTTGGGGCGGGGAGGATTTGGTTGAAGGAGTGTTGGCAGATGAATTACTCCAAATCATGCTTATTATAGTATAACTAGAAAGCAAGGCCAGTAAAGGAAATTCCCTTGAAAACTATGAATCATGTCTTGGACAACGGGAAGGTCTCAGTTCAGTCACAAACTGTAGGAATCTTGACACTCACCAGTCAGGACTTTTGAGCCACTGGAACTTGGAAGACGGGTGTTTGGAAACAGGCTGGTGTTGATGACAGGCCCAGCACCCAGCAGGCACATAGTGCTCTGGAGGTGGCAGCTCGCTTGCTGTCCTGCAAATCAGGCCTCGATTCCCAGGCTCAATCACAGTTTCCACTTGAGGTAATTATGCTTTATGCCTTGGTCGTGGTGGCAACTGATACTTGTGCAAATTATTCCTCCAATTGTGCAGTCCAGCAGAGATTACAACAATTGCCTCCCAGCAGAAACAGTGTACTGACTAAGGAGGTTACATATTCTTAAAATGTGTTCCAATCAAGGCCTTTGAAAAGTCCACTATGTGACCTTGAACAAGGAAATACAGTCTGAGGACTGGAGATGTAGGAAAGAGTTTAGCGAATAACTGAAGAAGGGGTCAGATATAGCCCACACCCCACACGCCCATCCTACCAGCCGATTCTAGACTCAGTCTAGTTCCAGGGCCTGTCATGACCAGTAGCAGTAGCAGCCAGCATTTATTTCCTTTTTTTTTCTTGAGTTGGAGTCTCATTCTGTCGCCCAGACTGGAGTGCAGTGGCCGCTCCCGGCCACCGCAGGCTCGACCTGCTGGGCTCCAGCGATCCTTCCGCCTCAGTCTTCCAAGTGCTGGAACTACAGGCGCGCGCTACCACGCCCAGCTAATTTTTGATTTTATTGTAGAGATGAGGTCTCACCAAGTTGCCTAGGTGGGTTTTGAACCCACGGGCTCAGGCAATCCACAGCATTTATTTCTTAAGCCTTCTGTGCCAGGCATGGTGCTGAGTGTGGTAACCATATCGTCTCTTGCATCTGCATGACAGCCCTAAAAGGCAGGGTTCACATTTGCCATCATTAAGATACTCTAAGGAAACCACAAGGAGACAATACTTCTTTCCATTCTTTCAGTGCACAAGTTAAATGACTTGGCTAAAATCATGACACAATGAGTGGTAGATCCAGATCCTCTGGGTTCTTGCTGGTACTCCACCCTACCAGTCTTCAGAGGGGGCTTAGGGAGCAGCCAGCCTCCCATTGCAGAAAGGTGGCTGAGAAGGGAGGAAAGAAGACCTCTGTGACTGCTCATTTATATACTAGCCTAGTACACCCAGGCTGGAGAGTGATTGCAGTGAGGGACGGGGCAAGTTGGCGTCTCTGGTTATAGGGATCCTAATTGGGAGTGGAACCCATTTTTGAGGGATGATCCCTCCAAACCTCTCCAAGACCTTCTGCAATAGCCCTGTGGCCCTTGTGATGGGGGAATCCATGCAGGGGAAATGGCAACCTCGGTCTAAGAAAGACAGGAGGCCTGCTGGGCACTGAGCACTAGGAGGGATGGCCTCACACTCAAACCAGAGCAATGAAGTGGAAAGCTCACGGCCCTCGGAGCAGACAGATCTGTGCTCCAATCCTGCTCTGCCACGAGAAGACAATGTGTCATCAGCTGAGCTACCTAGCCTCTTGAGCTTTGATTTTCTCACTTTTTTTTTTTTTTTTTTTGAGCTGGAGTCTCACTCTGTTGTCCAGGCTGGAGTGCAGTGGCATGCTCACGGCCGCCACAGCCTTGACCTGCTGGGCTCAGGTGATACTACTGCCTCAGCCTTCCAAGTAGCTGGAATACGCCACCACACCTGACTGATTTTTTGATTTATTGTAGAGACAAGGTCTCGCCAAGTTGCCTAGGCTAGTCTTGAACCCTTGAGCTCAGGCAATCCTCTGGCCTTGGTCTCCCAAAGTGCTGGGATTGCAGGCTTGACCCACCGCGCCCAGCAGGTTTTCT